ACGCTTGCTACTTGGGAAACCTAACATCTACCGGTAAGATGTACCGGTGCAGAGGATGTCTTAAAATCCGAGGAAGGGTGATCAGCCCGGGGGTGTTGGTTCAAGGATCAACAGTAACCTTTAATTCTGCAGCGCGCATCTGTGCATACCATCAGGGGAATGGTACTTGCATACAAAATGGCACAAATTGGAGTATGAAGGTTGATCGCGATTTCCGGATCAGGAATGGAACTGTAATCACAGGAGGATACGCCTATTTGTACATATTCTGGGTGCTGCCCGACACAGCTAGAGCTACGCAGACAGCTGTAGCTCCCCTGGTTCACACTTGTCAACAGATGGGACAAATAAGGGTAGCCGAATATGTGCGATGGACTGTGAAATTCCCTCCTATTCCGCCTTGTAACAGGAGGAGGCGAGCATGGTATGACACCGTGCTAGGAGGAACTGGAACTTTGTATGGTCTGGCTAACACAGCAGACAATGAGGTGACACGAACTATGCTGTCCAACACTGGAGAATACACCGCACAAGCTGTCACCAAGACTGCAAGATGGATGCCTTCGACTGTATCTAGTCAGTTAGAAGGAAGTGATGTGTGGAAAAGTGTATTTAAATGGAATCTAAAGCTTTGGAATGAAACTTATGATGCATTGCATAATTTGTCACACATAGGTAATTGGACAGTCTGTTCCTTGCAGACTATTCATGCTGAGACACAGAGAAATAGGTTTCAAATACAGGTAATGAGTAATAACTATCATGCATGGCGAACATTATGGAACATCAGTAGTTCATTATGGCTACAGCTACATGCAGAAATGACGATTTGTAATAAATCTATGTGTACTGGATACTGGGATCAGTATAATATGACATCAGTAATGACTGTGTGTAGATATCAGATACTGCCGGTGATAACCACTAAAGGGTTTTGGTATCTCCATGTTAGTGGAGAGTGGTGGGATGTTAAAACAAATCGAACATATGAAGTAAAACACTGTGATGAGACTGATAAGGGTTTAGCCTGCCCATTGGTAAAAGGACATAGCAATCCATGTTTCACTGATTCAAGGGTCGTACTCTGTGATTGGACGGTCACACCCCCAGAGGAACAGTTTTGGCAGGTGGGTCCTAACACCTTATGCGTGGCTACAATGACCAATTCCCCACAGGTACCTTCAGTTCCCTTTTCAGGTTGTCTCAAGGGTATACATATGTGGGAATGGAATAACGTGACCTATTGGTTGAGTAATTACACTGTATCTAGTCGGCTGACTAAGATACAATGGGAGGTTTTACACTCCCCTTGGACACTCTCACTGGAACAATTCAAATGCGCATTGGATGGTTCCACTGAAGTGGCAAAATTGATTGACTCTCATAGGTCCAACCTTTCCAGGCTCATGGTGTCTACTCTTGTGGCACAAGGGGAAATAAAACATGTTGTTACATTGATTGAACAGGCTTCCGCTCATCATTGGTGGGATATATTTACAGGCATGTCGAGTACCGCTAATAAAGTGCTAATTCCACCTATGATTGCAGCATTAATTATAATCAGCATTCTAACATTGTGTAATCTTATTATTTGTTGGTATGTTATTCGATTAAGAAGAGAAATAAATTGGGTAATAATGCAAAGACTACGATGAAAATTAAAGTGGAACTACAAGGTATGTTATAAATGACGTTGGTTTTGATGGGGAAATGGTGATGGATCCATGATGTTACATAAATTAGATGAAAAGTTCAAGAGTGGAATGTAATAAAAATGAACTTGTCATCTGTTGTATAATTGCTTTATACAAGTTATTGATCACTACTGTTTGTCAATCACACTTATCATGAGGATAATCATGGTAGAGCCGAACATAATGTGATCATGAGGATGTAATCAAGGTAATCCTGGTGGAGGTGTGCAGCTTTGCACGCACATCAGGGAATGTATAAGGAGCAGAGCAGAGCTCAGAGCTGTTAGAGCTGCTTGTTGGATTCATGGATTACATGTGTTCAGTTCTTCACCTATCATGGATTACGTTTTCTAACTGGGGTGTTCAGCTCTCCACCCATAAGCAACGGTAAGAGAAATGTTTCGTTCATGATTGATAACTTGTATGAATGCCGGTTGAATAAAGCCTTGTTGTTCATCTGATATTCAAGTTGTGTTTCATTGTTTCTGGCGTCGACTTGACAACGATCCTGATTAAATAAATATAAAGTGTAAAAAGAGACTTTGAGTCTTTTAAGGTAATTAAAATAAAATAAAACATTTTATTTTAGAACAGAGTCTAAGCAGGTGTGTAACAGCTGCAGCTTAGACATCTCATGGGGCTTAAAGGAGATATACAGTTGGATGTCATCTGCATAAAGATGGTAGGAGATTCCTTTGAAGGAGCTCAGGATGTGCTGAAGAGGAAGCAGATAGAGGAGGAAGAGCAGAGGCCCCAGCACAGAACCTTGCGGGACACCATAGGTAAGGGAGGTGGTGGACGACCTAAACTTGGAGACGGCCACAGAGAAGGAACACTCAGAAAGAGCAGTTCCTGATAGGCCTACCCAGTCTCTCAGCCTCTCCAGTAGCAGGTGATGGTCAACAGTGTCAAAGGCTGCAGTCAGGTCCAGCAGAACCAGAACAGAACAGTCCCCAGCACCACTGTGAGTCAGAAGGTCATTAGAGACCCTAAGAAGAGCTGTTTCAGTAGAATGAGCTCAATGAAAACCTGACTGGAAGCTATCATAGATGTTATGTTCATTGTGAAGAGGTGGGGGAGAATGGCGGGGAAGATTTGTCCATATTAAAAAGTCCTGACTACAAAAAAACACATTATAAACACACTATCTTGGACCAGATACATTACAGGATACCCCAGAACAGTGCTACGCCCACTGTTGTCCTGGCAGGGAATAGCTTTGCAACACTCCCCAGGAGACGAAGTATGAGGGTAAACTGTCTACATCCGTGCGTCTCTCCCAGGTGGAGCTGACGGAAAAGTATAAATTAGGCTTTACAGAGCTAAATGGATATGTTAACTACGGTAACCATTAATACACTTACCATCTGCGCTATGCACCCTGACCCAGCTGTTTAGTTTCGTGCCTCTAGGCTCATTGAATTCATTGGCATCATAGCCATAGACAAACAAAGTGCAAATGCCTCCGTTATTTCCTCGAACCGATTTGATGGTTTCTCATAAGGAGTTCCACCCACAAAAGTCTGATAGATGGGCATCTGGTGGGCTGTTGCACTCCCACTTGTCCTAATGTCAGAAGGTTTGGGCTTGCTAATGCTAGCTTTCCTGAGCCCTGTATATAGATCTTCATGGTTACATTGGAGATTTTTTTCGCGTTTCCCCCTCATGGTTTCCATGAACGTTGTCTCTTGTAACCAAAATATCTTGAAATAACAGACATGCTGTTTTAAACATGAGTTCCTTCTCGCTAACATTTTCCACACACGTTCTATCCTCAGTGATTGCGACGCTCTCTAAAGCCGGGCATACACTGTGCGACTTTTCACTTTTTTGAGCCGATTTTCCAGTCGTGCGAGAATCTACGACATCGGGGCAAGTTTTGCGCTGAGCGTCATGTAGTGTACAGGGGGTTACGAGAGGTGATTAACACCACGTGACCAGCTGCCGATCAGCAGTCGTGAGGTCGCACGGACTTCTGGCGTGTTTAAAATTTCGCTTGTCCCTCGTGAGGGTATCATACTGTTGAAGCGGCGCTGCGAGCAGCTGCGACCCAAAAAGTATCAGAACCGCTCATGGCGCATGCGCAATCCTGCATCAATGCCGCTCACTATTTCCCTAATAACACACGCTGTTCGTTTTTGTTTCTACACGTTTTTTCACTCACAAAGATTGTCAAGAAAGCGTGTTTGTCGTGTTCATGTCAAATTAAACTGATCACAAAACACAGATTTACTTTCTTTATTTCGTTTTCCTCATCCAACCCCCATAAATCCCTGTGTGTCCTGCAGCACTCCCGAAGGACAACAGGCAAAACAAGACAAAAAAGTCTGACGTGTTGAGTAAAAACTGCTATTTTTAGCATATTTTTAGGGCCGACGTGTTGCTACCAGACGTACAGTGTGAGCAGTCAGGTCGCATGCGAGAACTGGGTCATGCAGTGTGAGCGCATGACTCGTGAGATCTGTCCTGCGAGGAAGTCGTAGTTTGAGCTGAAGCTGAACGCTGCGAGTGAAAAAGTCGCACAGTGTACGCCTGGCTTAAGCCAACTCAGATGTTTGCTAGCCATCCAAATTAAGTGCCGTCCACCTAGAGGGCGGGCATCATGATCTGACCTAGAAAAACCCACTCGACTGGCCAAATGGATGAAGGGAATTGATTTGTCAACTTCACGCTTCAGTTTGATTGAAAAAATGCATTATATGTAGCAAACATTTGAGCTGACAATTTATTGCAATTTTTTCTGTTCTCTGAAATATGACTATTGGGCATGCTGATATCATGATGATGATACTTTGTGCAGCCCTGCCAACAACACCTCCTACGTTACATTAAAAACTCTGTATAAAGTTTGTAAATGATCACAGTAATGTGTGTATGCGTGTAGTTGTGTTTGGGGTCCTGGCTTAGTAGAGTCCTCCACACAGAGCTAAGATGAAGCACACCCACCAGCGCTTACGTTAATGTTCCAGGAGGAACTGGTTGAAAGGCCAAGGCAGTCAGGAATCCACTAAAGCTGCAGACGGGAATGTCACATTTCCAGAACAAGTGCAAATACCTAACCTAGCCCAGAATCAGAACACTTATTCATTGTCGGATAGATCGTGACAACTATGTGATTCATACCACCTGAGCAAATGTTGAGAGAATACCATAAAGAGGTTTTATTTGTGCAGATGACATTCCAGTCTGACCTGACACTTGAGTTTTGGAACAGAACATGTCCCAGGAGATTTGGTTTGTACAGGTGGAAGTCACTTTCACTTAACCTTGACACAACAAACTCTGCAGGTGCTCCCTGGCACTCACCAGAAGAAGGTGTTCGTCCCGTCATCAAACACCTCGGTCTCCGTGTTCCTCCGGTGCAGGCTCTCCTTGGAGCTCTGCTTCACCATCTTGGCTCTGCCCGCTGAGGAGGAGCTCTGATCCGGACAGCCCGAGTCCACGGAGCCGTTGTTGACCTGCTCGGTGGTGGCGCTCTTGCCGGGGGCGCTGAAGGCGGCCACGCTGCTTCTCTTCGACTCGGGCTTGGTCATGGCTGTACCGAGCCCAAATAAAAGGCGGTTTGACTTAATCCTCCTCTCGAGTCCTGCTCCTCCTGTCGTCAGTCACCCGCGTCAGCCCCACCCCGACGACTGTCAGCATCCTGGGATATTGGGAGGAAATCAACGTTACCAAGGCGATAACAACATGGAGAAGAGTGTGACCTGAAAATCACGTCCTCTTGTTGTTTTAGCAGGCCGAACAAGGCAGGCAGGCGCGCACCTAAACCCGTAGATAACGCCGCCTACTTATATCAAAGTATTAACAGCGTCTTCAAGACTTATGTTAGCTAACCTTTAGTTTTCTTCAGAAATCTAGCTAACGCCACTCACCAGCTGAAACTATGGGATTACAGGCTGCAGTCCGAATGAGCTCTGGAGCTGTAAACGCTCGCTACATCAACACAAAGGCTAAAAATCCGCTTTACTCCCGGCGAGAAAGTTGTTTTTAGCCTGACTGCACCGCGCAAGCAGACTGCCACTTCATGATGGCTTTGGTCTACACACACAATCACGTGGACACGGTTTGCTCGGTAAAGTATAACGTTTCCGGTATGCTTCTTAAAAAATAAATCATACCCTTATTAGCGTTGGCCAACATGCTTTTATTTTGAAATCTAACTATTTCACTCGGAAGTTTTTTTTCTGTTCAATGCTGTAATTTGGGTCACGTGACAGGCTGGCGTGGTGTTGGGTTCAGATTATTTTTTTATTTATAATAAAAAAAAAGATTTTCCTCACTAACACCTACCGTAATACAAGCAAACGTTTAACCTTTGACTTGTTAAGGTTATGCCTCAAGTCGTAAAACGATTTTGTTGGATTAGGGATGCCGTTTAAATGACGTCACATCCGCCTCCTTAACTCTATAATAATAACAATAACAATAATAAAAATAATTCACTAATTGTTATTATTGTTATTATTACCCTGGTAATAATTATTATTAGGCTAATTATTATTATTATTATTATTATTATTATTATTATTATTATTATTATTATTATTATTATTATTATTATTATTATCATTATTATTAGCATTAGCATTATTACAGCAATAGTAATGCTTAAAATTCATGGAATAAGAATATATGTTTCATGTTTATTAGCCTAATTGTTTTCAGTCATGTTCAGTTTAAGCCAAACATAAAGGGACTCACAAAAATGCTCGAGCTAATGGTTGACTAAAGGGTTAAAAGCCAAAAGCTCAGCATTAAAGATAACAATAACAATAATATAGAATAAGCTACAAAATAGCTGTAATGGTACATCAATAACTAGGCTTATCATCACCACCCTCTCCTTATTCTGCTCTTTTTACCAATTATGCCCTTCCTGGGATCCACTGATTTCCCTCTTTCTTATTCATCTTCACATTTTTAATCACAATTTTTTTCCTTAAATCTTTTAATTTTTGTTCTTGTGAAGCGCCTCATGAATTTTATCTTGAGAGGCGCTTGTCTTTTCTTTGTTTGTTTGTTTGTTTCTTTCTTTCTTTCTTTCTTTTTTTCCTTCTTTCTTTCTTTCTTTCTTTCTTTCTTTCTTTCTTTCTTTCTTTCTTTCTTTCCTTCTTTCTTTCTTTCCTTCTTTCTTTCTTTCCTTCTTTCTTTCTTTCTTTCTTTCTTTCTTTCTTTCTTTCTTTCTTCCTATTATAATCTAAACAAATGAAATAATAAATGTATTTATCAAGCAAAGTGATTTAGTAAGACAGATTCATGTGAAAAATCTTACAAGCAGACCCTCTGATCTTCACCAACAGCTCCAGGACCCGTTAGCAGCATCTGTCTGTAAAGAAAATTGAAATTCGTGAGATTTTTTTCAGACTTTCATCTTGGAATTTCCTCAGACATCAGCACTTGACCAAAGTAACAAGTGTTATCTCTCAATTGTTTAACTAGAGTCTGTGACCCAAGGCTGGAGATAGAAGAAACAACATTTTTTGTTATTTTTCTGTTAAATCAGTCTTTAAATATATTTATAAATCCAGTTTTCATTTGAAGAGCATGTCTGGTTTATTAGAACTTGTACTTTGTTTTGTAAACAAGCTTTTTCTGAGAGTTTAACCTCATTCAACCCCTAAGTTCGCTCTGGTGTGTGTGTGTGTGTGTGTGTGTGTGTGTGTGTGTGTGTGTGTGTGTGTGTGTGTGTGTGTGTGTGTGTGTGTGTGTGTGTGTGTGTGTGTGTGTGTGTGTGTGTGTGTGTGTGGTCCATTTTCATAAGTAACTGATGCTGCCAGGTCTTGCACAAACCTGAAAGTAGCAGCTCACGTGTTCTTCACTGTGTGTATAAAATGGCCAACAATAATGACATGAATAATAATAATAAGAGGAAGAAGAAAGGATCTTTTATGTAACAAGAACAAGAACATTAAAAATGTATTTAAAAAAATCGTAAAAACTTGGTAAAGTTAAAATTGTGATTAAAAAAATGTGAGCAAAGGGAGAGAGAAAATGAACAGGGAAGAGGTAATCGTGGAAAGGTTGAATAGATAGAAAGAGCAAAATAAGGAGAGGGTGGTGACAAAAGTCACGTTAAAGCCAGCCTGAACAGATGAGTCTTCAGCTACTTTTTAAAGGAGACCACTGAGTCCACTGATCTCAGGCTCAAGGGGAGAGAGGTCCAGAGTCCAATATCATCTGGCCAGCCGCTAAAAGGGGCGTTTGGTTGGTAAACAGGAACACCTCCGTCTTCTTAATCACTCCTGAAATGTTACTTAACCTCAGATATTTCAAAATAAGATATTTTCTCTGGTCATCTCTTTGTTCACCGTCTTTTTTAACACAGTTATTGTTCATCTGTGCTCCCCCTGCCCTTTCATTTTTTGTTGCTGGTTTGACGTGAGCGTGCGCCACACTCTCCGAACCTGCGTTTAAATCCCACCTCCTGCTTTATCCACAGTTTATACAAATGTTAAACTGGAATCGGGAGGCAAGGAATTACTTAGAAATGGGAGACTCTCAATAAGGCGGGACAGACTTTTCTCCTCTACTTCGGACTGTCGCTCATGAGAAGCTCACACGAAGCACAGCAGCTAGACAGGGCAGCTGTGGCTACATCGTAGGTCAACCCTACCAGGGTGTGAATGTGTGTGTGAATGGGTGAATGATTGATTGTGTTGTAAACAGTGTTGGGAGTAACGCCGTTTAAGTATAACGGCGTTTCTAACGGCGTTCTTTTATAGGTAACGGAATAATCTAATTAATTACTTTTCCCGCCGTTGCAACGCCGTTACCGTTACTGGGGACGGAACGTTGTGCGTTACTATGTGCTTGTCGAACGTTGAGCAGCAGTGTGAGGCTTTCTGACCGCCACACTTCAGCTGCAGCCAGGGAGAGAGGTGTCGGTAACACACTTACAAACACGATGATGATTGGCCGGGTGGGCGGAGACCCTCACGGTCTCAGTCGCTGCTGCTGTAGACCCAACGGGAATAACTCCGTTTAAAATAACCGCGTTAATAAAAAATATTTCTTTCTGTAACGAGCAAACTAATTAATTTCGTCTTCTTTTATCAAAACGTCGTTTCTGTTACTGATAAGAAAATGCGTGCATTAAGCAGCGTGGTGTGTTGAAGCTGTCATCCTCAGCTGATCAGGAGCTAAAGAGGCAGATGTTTTCATCCAAGTGCGTCACGGCCCGTGAAGAACGAGGAAGACGTGATGAATATCTACGGCTGCAGACCCCCCGCAGACTTTTTGCTGCAGGGTCTGCAGCCGGGCCCTTCTTAGCGTGACAGCGGGACGTCCCGAAGGTCCGCTCACCTGTTCACCGCTCAGACGTCCTGATCTTCTGTCTTCCTAGATCATCCAGCTGTAACCTGTTTCTGATCATGTCTTTAGTCCCGCTGTAACACTGATGCATCAGTCTCAGACGTCATGGAGCTCAGGTGTTATTAGAACTACCTGTGTGTGTTTACCACCCAGCTTCAGCTCTTCTGTGGTTGGGTCTGACCCACGTTAGTAAATGTGAGTCCTCCATCAGGCTTGTGCCTCTTCTAGTGTCATTTTAAAGGATTTTATTTATTTATTTAACCGTTACTAGATTAGCAGCAACAGAAATGCTGCTAAAACACACAATTATGTGAAGCTGGAAAAATTAGAATGCTGTGCAAAATTACATTTATTTCTGTAATTTAACTAGACTGAGAGACCATTTAAAGGCTCGGGAACCTTTACAGGTGTTTCTTTTTGCAATTTTAAATTTTAGCTGATTGGGTTTTTGTTAAATATCACACAGTGACCTTTTAATAGTCTAGATTAGTGTAATGCTCCTGTTAGTAGTTCCTCCTGTTAAGTGCTTATTTGTTTAAATTATTCAGGTTTATATAAAACATTTGGACATACATTTTATTATGTTCAGTCATTAGTCATTTATATTTTACTATTGTAGTAATTCTTGCATTCTTTAATGAAAAAAGTAACTAAGTAGTTACTTTTGTTGGTAATTAGTTACTTTTATGATCTTGTAACTCAGTTAGTAACTGAGTTACTTTTTTGACAAAGTAATCAGTAACTATAACTAATTACTTTTTTAAAGTAACGTTCCCAACACTGGTTGTAAAGTGCCTTAGGGGGTTCCAAGACTCTAGAAGGCGCTATATCAAATACAGCCCATTTACCATCCATCTTCATTCAGCTGTAGAAAGTTCCCAGCCAACCAGGTTTTGATAGAGTCTAGGCCAGGGGTGGGCAATTATTTTTTCCATGGGGCCACATGAGAAATAGAAAATATTGTGGAGGGCCAGGCCAAAAGGCTGAAGTCAATTATGCATAATATTAATGGTATTTCTTTATAAAAAGCAGTAAATACCATCGTTTTTTCAAGCTGGTAAGAGTAGACTAAATGTTATGAATGAGCAAAACGGAAAAAGTGAGGTTGTCTTACAAAAATGTGATTTATTCAAATTTCCCAAGGCAATGGTAAACAAAGTGTGCACATTTGGTTTTTGTTAAACATTTGTGACTTATATTAGTTAACAGTTTCAGTCACATTCACTCCAAAACACATTCTGAGTTTCAAATATTGTTGGAAAGAGGTTCTTAGCATTCTACAGACACACAGTATTGTCTGTAAAATAAAATCACTGAACTGTGATCTTGAGAAAGAGGTTTAAAAAAAAGTGTCCCAGTTCACTGCTAGTTGCCTACATTTGTGGTCCAAACACCTTATTTTGTGTTTTTAAGCAATTTTTTTCTTATTCAATGAGAGAAATCTAGTCTCTGCTGGGCTTTAACGAGTGCATCAAAGTCAGGTTGAATGTCTGAGGTGGAGATGCGAAGCACAGCTGACAAATGATCATCAGTGAGAGAGGATCTTTACTTGGATTTTGTAAACTTCATCATTGAAAATGTTTGTTCACAAATGTAGGTAGAGCTGAAGAGAACCAACATCTTCTGAGCATGTCTCCTCAGGTTTGGAAAGTCCTCCTTAAGAGAAGAGTAGAAATCCAGCAGAGATCCTGAATCTCTGCTTTCGAGTCCCAAACCCTCTTTAGCACTTTCCCCAGGCTGAGCCATCTGACAGCTGTGTGGAGTCCTC